CCGACCTTCTCAGCACCAAGAAGGTCGACAGCAACAGCAGAGGCGACAGAGGGGAGAAGAGGGGAGGGGGAACACCCCTCAAAGAAAGGGGTGTGGGGGTCGCCGCGAGACGCACCGACAGCGACTATGCTAGTCTCAGCTGCCAGCAGGTGCTTCTCAAGCAGGTCAATGGTGAGCTCGGTGGGGCAGAGAGCAAGGAAGTGGTCCCTGACCGCACGAAGGGAGTCAGGGAGACGGGTGACCAGGTGGTAAAGAGTGAGCCACAGCGGGGTGGGGGGGTCTTGGCAAGAAACTCAGCGGGCATGGCAGCACGGAAGCGGGTCTCACTAGTGCGGAGGTGAGTAATGAGGTCAGCGACTGTGGAGAAGGCGGACAGGTCTGGGAACATATAGGGCAGTGAGAGGCGGCCTAGCGCAGCAGAGGCAGGCGAGGAGTAGCGCGCAACTACAGCAGTGTACAGTGCCTGAGCAGTCTTGTGCTGGCCAAAGTGCTCGCGTTCATCTACCGGCAGGGAGTTGCGAATGGCGAAGCGAGAGTGGGCGTCACGAGTCTGCCACTGTGAGCGGGCAGTTTTGTCAGCAGTCGCAGCAGGAGCAGGAGCGAGTCCTAACGCATGATCATATAGCGAAATATCCTCCTTAGCAGTGAGCTGGAGGAACAGATGGAGGTCCTCGAGCCAGTTGTCAAAACGCAGCGGGCGGCCCTCAGCATCGAAAGCTAGAACTGCAGGACTAGCCATAGGTTCAGTAGGAGCAGTAGGAATAGCAGTAGTAGTATCAGCAGCAACAGCAGCGGCAGCAGTGAAACAGCACAGCGCGGCTCGGGCAGGGCGGCGCGGCGCGGCTCGGGCAGGGCGGCGCGGCGCGGCTCGGGAAGGGCGGCGCGGCGGCTTGCCTGCGCGTGGGTGTGGTGCTGCGCGGGGGCAGCAGGCTGCGCGTGCGGCTGCAGCGGCCTGCGCGCGGGCTGCTGCTGAGCGGCAGCAGCTGCTGTTGTGGGTGCGCGAGGCGGCTGCAGCTGCGGCTGCACGTGCGGCTGCGTGAGGCGGCTGCGCGCTCGGCTGGGCGGGCTGCTGCGCGTGCGGCTGCACGTGCGGGTGCGCGTGCGGTCGTGCGTGCAGCCTAGCGTGCGGCCGTGCGGGCGGCTTAGCGGGCGGCTGCGCGTGCGGCTGCGCGGGCGGCTGCGCGTGTGGCTGCTCGTGCGGTCGTGCGTGCGGCTGCGCGTGCGGCCTAACGTGCGGCTGCGCGTGCAGCTTAGCGGGCGGCTGCGCGTGCGGTGGACGGGCGGCGCGCGCGACTGTCCTAGGGCGCACGACGGCGCAAGAAGGGGCGCTCGACGGCGCTAGTAAGGGCGCTCGACGGCGCGGGTAGGGGCATACGACGGCGCGAGGCACTATCAGACAGGGTCGCGCAAGGGCGCGGCGGAACGGTGGGCCCTAACCAACGTCGGTCCTAGGTCCTGACCTAGGCGTCGGATACCATGTTAGAATCCAGAAGTGAACGAGAATGGAATGAACTAGGCAGCAGGGTGATACAAATAGGAAACCCTAGCAATGTTGTACTCCCTAAGGCTAAACCCACTATAGCCTACACAATATAAACATGTATAATGTTTGACAAACAACAGCACGGCGATCTACCTGGATGGGTGGAACATCGTTCAAGTGGTGATTCAAGGTGAGTGAGTGAGTGAGTGAGTGAGTGGGATCGGGGGTGCGCTTGCCTCGTTTACTGAGCAACGGTGGCGGTTACTCGGGCACGGCAGGGAGGCTAGACATCAACAACAACACAACAATCTTCCTGGATGGGTGGAACATCGTTCAAGTGGTGACTGAAGGTGAGTGCTTTGGGATGAAGTTTCGTTCATCTCATATTCTCTCATCTAATGCGACGGTGGCGCCTACTCAGGCATCTACCCTCATCAACTGCAACGGTGGCGCCTACTCAGGGACGGCAGGAAGGCTGGGCACGTCGATCTACCTGGATGGGTGGAAGATTTGTTTAAGCAGTAATTCAGGGTATGTTGCCCAATGGGTGTCACGTGAGCTTGAGAGTAAGTGAATAGAACTTTTGAGGCGCCACTTTCATCCATTTCTCCCAAATTCCTCTTTTTGGTGCTTCCGTTCCACTGTTTCTGTCTCCGCCGCCCAAATGCAATCAGATCTGAAATTGAATCGGGGAATCAAATCTGCAGATCAGATTCTACTGGCGGGCAGCTCAGTGGGCGGCCAAGCAGTCGTGGCTCTCTGCGATCGCATCGCTGCCGCCTTCCCCTGGGCAGCAACCAAATTGCATTTCTGACTCGGGCTTCTTCATTGGTGAGCCTGTGTAACCAGATCAGGCTAGGGCTCTCGTTGATTCGGGCTTCTTTATTGGTGAGTGCCTTGAGGTTCAGGCCTTTTATTGTGAGTCTTTGTTTGTGAGTGTACTGTACCGTCACATGTTTGTTCCGTGTGTATTTAGGCCTAGTGTGTATTTCGGGCTCGTCTCTGACTCACAGTTGGTTCAATCGTATGCCTTGACTCTACTCTTATCACACATGTATTTTGGACCAGTGTGTTTTGGCCATGCATCTCTGAGTCTCAGACTCCCATGACTGAGAGGGCGCGTTTACACATGGCATTCCACAGTTCAAAGACGTTCCCCGCTCCCCCCCTTCTCTCCCTCACCCCCCCCTCGACTTTTGAGTCGACTCACAAGTCCCCGCGTTTACACGTGGCATGCCATGCCACAGTGCAAAGCCGTTCCCCGTTTGTCCCCATTTCAGACTCCAAGGACCGAGTGGGAGGGAACACATGGCGTGCCTCGGCTCAGAGTTATTCCCCTTTTTGCCCTGTGCTTCTCCCCATCCCCCACCCCCATCTTCCCCCCGCTACGATTCCAGACTCCAAGGACCGAGTGGGAGGGAGCACATGGCGTGCCTCGGCACAGAGGACAGAGGTGCATTGCATGGTGGTTACATGGTTACCATGTGGCGTGCCTCTCCGCACAGAGCCTGGGTGATCTGCACAAGCCGAGCTGGACTGCTTGCATGGATGGTGGGGGAGAGACGACGGGGTGTGAAACATGGTGTGCAACAAGTTGTGAAACGCGGCATGAACTGGACGCGACACTCGGCATGAAATGGGCTGTGAAACGTGGCATGAGACGCGCTTCTGAACTGTGGCATCGATTGGGATTTGTAACAATTGCAACATTAATTACTGTTGAAGTTTAGTTTCGTATCACCATTGAAATCTTCTCTCCACATAACGTCGTTTCCCTGCCTCATGTCACTTCTCATTTACTCTTTGCCTCCCCAACTCTCCTACTCTCTGGACCCTATTCCCTTCTTCAGTATCAAGTATCCGCTAGCTTCCTGGATGATTCCTTTCTCACCCACACCCCTTTTCCGCATGTCATTGCTTCCCCACTTTCCCTGCATCTCCCTCCAATACTCCCCCTCTCTTCCCCCTTTTCCATTGAATAACACCAGCCTTACCAGATACTGATATTTGGAAGTGTTTCTTTCCGCAGTACATACTGGAAAACGTTGCAACTCCCACTTTTCTGTTCCGTACGTTCTTCGACATTAACGCGAGCATGCTCGGCGGGCTGTTACCGCGTAACACTATATACGCTTATGCATGCTTGAATGAAGTGGCGTGGTTAGGCACAGGGATTATAGCGAGAAAGGAGTGAAACAACACAGTATGGAAAACGAATTACTGTACAGCGTGAGAGAGGGACGCGTTGTTTGCTGCGGCATCTGTTGTCTATGACGAACTCGAAAGGGTTACTGTAAGTGGAAACACTGTAGCTGCGTTTGTGCAGCCTGAAATGGCACACGTAGCATTGTGTTACAACTCGTGGACACAAGGAACAATTCGAGGAATGTCTGTAGAGTCTGAAATAGTACGATGTTTTGCAAATGAGATGTCGGATAGGTTTGTGCATAAATAAGGCATTCATAGAGTGTGCATACCGTGATTTTGGTATTCATACATGTCATTCCTGTCCACAGCAGCTGTCCACATGTCATGGATTGGCAGCAACAACCAGCAATCAGTTGCCTAAATCTTTACTGACAATTGCTCTTAAAAATGCGAAGTCAATGCAACCATTCCGACGCAAGTGCATGAGCTGCAAGCGTTACCAACCAAAAGTGCACACTATCAAGCATCATACTAGATACCGGTACTGTGGTATGTCGGATATTTGGGCTACTACACCTTCTTCCTGGGTGAAAACGCAAAAGGGTTCCAATCATATTATTGTGGAAGCCAAACCAATTTAACGTGCTGAAGTTCTAAAAAAAACGATAATATCGTGTGTCTCCATTGTGCACAATTGTTTGGGAGTTCTCGTGGTCAGAGGTGTGATTTGTGTACAATTAACTAGCAAATTGTACACCTCCAGTGCTCCTTCAACTGCTTCAGCGAGTTGGGTTTTAGAGTGTACACTTTCTAAAATAATGGCGGGAATGGTCGGTCAGTAGGCTCACTGCAGACCTAGAAAGTTCCTCGCATCGCAATGTCGCGATCTGGGTTCTCCGGCACGATTCGCACTTCTGTTCGCCGGCTAAGACCAAGTCGCCGACTCAATCTGCCAGTTCCGTTCCCGAAGCGCCACTGCTTGGAAATTATTTTCCGGTCGCAGAGTCACGTTTCTGAAACGTCGTGCTGGTTCAACGCGGTGAACGTGCAAAACCGTTTCCCAGCGCGTACCACCGTTTTGAACCGGATGTGGAAGTACCCCCACGTTTTTGGTGGCTGGATCACGTGTGTAGAACGGAATCGGATTCTGGGCAATTCCGTAACGGACTAGTCTAGCAGCCGGCTCGAGCTGTGCTCTTATCCACCCGAGGCGCAGCTTGCATATAAAACAAGCACAGTTAGTGCTCGTCGACACGATGTTTTCCCGCAAACGATACTGCGACGGTAGCGGCTTTCTGCCTAATGCTCCTGTGAAGGAGCGGGTTAGTAGTAGCTCAATTCTGGCTGCTTTAACTCGAAGCCAAACCAAATGGCTGCATTCACCGAGCGTCGCACTTCGACGGCTAGCGGTGTTTTTACCGGATTCAACCGCGGATTCAACACCAACGCTAGGTTGCCGCTGAAACCGGCGTCTATTACTAGTACTACCAGCAATAAAGCGGGCTGGAAGTTTCATTTTCGCGGGAAATCCGCCTCCGCCTGTGGTGTTCCTGCGGTGTTCCTGCAGTACCTGATTTCGCTCGTTGCGGTGTCGCTACTCGCTGCAGTTCCTGTTGCGGGAAATCCGCCTCCGCTGCCGGCGCCGCCGGCCACGCCGCGGCTCGTTCTGCTGGCGAATAACTCGTTCGACGCGAAATGCCTCGACGGAAGGTAAGATATGGAGCGGAAAGGGTGAGGGGAAGGAGCGGGATCCATTCTCGAGGCGGAGGAAGGAGGGGGAGAAGGGGGAGGAGGGGGAGGAGAGGGAGGAGGGGGAGGAGGGGGAGGAGGGGGAGGAAGGGGGGGAAGGGGAGAAATCGAAGAGAAACGAAGAAACTCGTTCTGCTGGCGAATATCTTCTTGGACGCGAAATGCGGGAGGTCGGGAAGGGGAAATCGCCAGTTGAGAGGTGGGGGAATGCGAAGGAGAAGCAAAGCAATTCGTTCTGCTGGCGAGTAACACGCGAAATTCCCCGACGGGAAGTACTGCAGGAAACGTGTGGCTCAGGGCAATCCCCTCCCCCTGGAGGTTGCGATGCTGGTTCTGATGGTTGCAATGGTTACGAGCAAGTAAACCCTAAACAGAGGGGGACAAGAGCACGTGGTTCAAGGCAATATCCCCCCACCCCCTCTCCCTTTTTCCAACCCCCCACCCCCTCTCCCTTTTTCCAACCCCCCACCCCCCCTTTGTCGCTCTCCCCTGCCCTTACCTTACTCCAGCCCGCCAGGGTACAATTTCCGGGCAGGCATGGGGGGAAGATAAAGCACGCTGCACTTCTAGTTCCACTCTCCCCTCCACTCTCCCCTCCTTCCCCCTCCATCCATCCTTCGTTCACGCCAGCCCCCCAGGGTACTACTTCCGGCCAGGCACGGGGGGCGGCAAGAGCATGTGGCACATCTATTATCTGTTCTCCCTCTCCTTTGCCCACATATCCCTCCTCCACCTCTTCACGCCAGCCCCCCAGGGTACTACTTCCGGCCAGGCACGGGGGGCGGCAAGAGCATGTGGCACATCTACCTGCCGCACGGCGGGTGGTGCCTCTCTCCTGACGAGTGCCTCCGCAGGAGCAAGGCGCCTCTCGGCAGCAGCACCTTCTATCCCCAAGACCCCACCAATGCGGTACGCTACTCTCTCCCCGTTAAACCCCCCTCTCCACACCCACCTCCCCCAACGACGGCGTATGGCAGCAGCACGTTCTATCCTCGCGATCCCACCAACGTGGTATGCTATTCCGAAGAAGCTTCCTCTGTTGGCCCAGCCTGCTACCTGCCGCATGGGGGGGGGGGTGCCTCTCCCCTGACGAGTGCGTCCGCAGGAGCAAGGCGCCGCTCAGCAGCAGCACCTTCTATCCTGCCGATCCCACCAATACGGTACGTTATTCCGAAGAGGCTTCCTCTGTTGGCCCAGAGGGTACCTGTTGGTCAGAGGGTGCCGAAGAGGCACCAATTCTGTGTAACGCAGAACCGGTCCCCATAAAACTCATTCCTTGCCTCCGCCCTCCAACCCCTCAATTCCAACGCAGAACCTCTCTCCGGATTTCGAAGGTATTCTCAGCAGCAGCAGCAGCATCAGCCCGCACTTACACAACTGGAACCTCGTTCCCCCCTTTCTCTCTTCTCCCGCACTCCCCTTTCCCCTCCCCGCTCTCATTCCCGCCTTCAGAACCTCTCTCCCGATTTCAAAGGCATTCTCAGCAGCAACAGCAGCATCAACCCTCACTTCCACAACTGGAACCTCGTTCGTCTCATCTACTGCGACGGAGGCGGCTATGCGGGCACAGCAGGGAGGGTGGAGGTTGGTAACGGCACGGCGATCTACCTGGATGGGTGGAAGATTGTACAAGCGGTCATTCAAGGTACGTTGCTGAAACGTCTGAGCTTGAGCAAGCGAAGGGACTTCCGAGGCACGTCTTTCACCCCTCTCGTGACTTCTTCCCCTCGTTGGTTCTTTCTCTCCACTGTTTTTGTCCCGTCTCCCTCTCCTTGCCTTGCCCCACATCCTGCCACTTACTCACCCTCACCCTTACCCTTTCCTTGTTAACCCCTCACCCAAACGCAATCAGATCTGAAATCGAAGCGCGGGATCAGATCTGCAGATCAGATCCTCCTGGTGGGCAGCTCAGCGGGCGGCCAAGCAGCCGTGGCTCACTGTGATCGTATCGCCGGCGCTTTTCCCTGGGCGGCAACTAAATGCATCTCCGACTCGGGCTTCTTTATTGGTGAGTGGTTACAATAATGGGTGAGTCCTCATAGGTGACTCGGGCTTCTTAATAGGTGGATCGGTTACATTATTCGCTTTTGAATTGCTAAAAAAGGGGCGGTATACAAAATGTGACAATCAAGCGCTGCGTGTTGCCTCTCTCGCTGCCCACCTTCCCCCCCTTCCCCATCCCTCCCTTTTAGACTCCAAGGACCGAGAGGGCGGGAACACGTGGCGTGCCAAAGCACAGAGCCTGATTGATCTTCACAAGCCCAGCTGGCCTGCTTGCATGCATGGTGAGATGAGATGCACAGATGACATGCATTGAGGTTACAATGTTACCACATGCTGAGGAATGAGTTGGGTTGTGAAACCTGGATTGTGAAATTAAAAGTTTGTTAAAGTCGGGTTTAAAATCAGCACAGCAACAACCTTTCTTTTGTGTAGGCAACCTTCTTTTCACATAACATTTTTTGCCTTCCCCCACGTCACCTCTCATTCCCTCCTTGCACCCCCCACACTCCTGCTCTCTACTCCCTTGTTCCTCTCCAATGCTTCCTCCCCTCAACCATACCCCCTTTTCCCGTGTCTATTGCGTCCCCCGTCCAACCCCACATCTCCCTCCTATACTCCCCCATTTCCCCCATACCTAATGATATTCAGCCTTACCAGAAGCTGATCATTGGAAGTGTTTCTTTCCGCAATACGTACTGCGAAACGTTGCAACCCCGATTTTCCTGTTCCGTGCATTCTTTGACATTAACGCAAACATGCTCGGCGGGCTGTTACCCAATAACCATACATACGCTGACGACTGCTTACAAGAAGTGTCGTGGGCACCTACCGGGATGATAAAGAGAAGGGAGTGGAGCAAGGTTCTGTGGAAGACAAATCGGTGCACGGCGGGAGAAAGGCACGCGCTGTTTTCTGCGGCGTCGGTTCTGCATGATGAGCTGGATAGGGTTATCCGAAGCGGAAACACTGTGGCTGCGTTTGTGAAACCTGGGAATCTACACGTGGCGCTGTGCTACAACTGGTGGACGAATGTCACAATTCGGGGAGTTTCGGTACAGTCTGCAATAGTACAGTGGCTTGGAAACGAAATGCCTAATCGGTTTGTGCATTTGTAAGCCGTTTATGGTGCAGAGTCTTAGGTATCCATAGCATGTTTGCCCAAATAGACGTCTTGGGGGGCTTAGAGCTTCTAGATAGCCTCCCAACTCTTTGGCTCCACCTAGCAGGTTTCCTTGATGTCTTGCTATATTAACGTTGTAATAACAGATGAGTCATTCCCTAATACTGCGCATTCTTTTCAACGCATAACACTATACATGCACAAACCTATTAGACATCTTGTTTGCAAGCCATCGCACTAATTCAGACTCTACCAACATTCCCCGAATCGTTGCTCTCGTCCAAGAGTTGTAACATAGCGCCACGTGTGCCATGCCAGCTTGCACAAACGCAGCTACAGTGCTTTTGCTTCCAGTAATCCTCGCCAACTCGTCATAGAGAACCGATGCTGCAACAAACAACGCATCACGCTCTCCCGCTGTACAGAAATTCGTCCTCCATATAACCCTGCTCCACTCCTTTCTCGCTATGATTCCTGTAGACGACCACGAAATTTCATGTAAGCATGCGTAAGCGTATGTAGAGTTTCGCGGTAGCAGCCCTCCGAGAGTGCTCGCGGTAAAGTCGAAGAATGCGTGGAACAGAAATATGGGGGTAGTGACGTTTTGCAGTATGTATTGTGGAAAAAAACACTTCCAGTGATCAGTATCTGGTAAGGCTGAAGATTTTAAATGGGGAAAGGGGAAATCAGGGGGGAGAATTGGAGGAAGAAGTAGGATTGGTGGTGAAAATCAACGGCACAGGAACCAGGGAGAGCATAAGGGGCAGGCATTAGGGAGTATAGGGGAAGAGTGGGAGGAAAGAAGTGGTAAATAGCAGGATTGTGGGCGCCATAAAAGCCATCCCTCAAAACCCACTCAACGCCACATCTTTTTAGGGCGCCTCCATTCCTGAGGCGCCTAAAGTTCTGAATTATCATACCTTTCAAACCCATCTAACACCACATTCCAGAAGCCATCACATGCCAAGTTCCAGCACCCATTTCATGCTGCATTTCACAACTTGTTTCATGCCATGTTTCACTCCTCATCACTATTCTCTCACCATCCATGCAATCAGTCCAGTTTGGCTTGTGAAAATCAACCAGCATCTGTGCAGAGGCACGCCACGTGTTCCCGCCCTCTTGGTCCTTGGAATCTGAAAGAGAAAGGTGGAGGGGGGAGGGGAGGGAGGAAGGGAAGGGGTGGGAGGGAAGATAACTAGGCTTACGAGGGGGATGGCTCTGTACCGAGGCACGCCACGTGTTCCCGCCCTCTCGGTCCTTGGAGTCTGAAGGGAAAGGTGGAGTGGAGAATGGGGGGAGAGCACTAGGCGAACGGGGATCGATGCTGAAAACACACTGGCCAAAATACCTGCGGAGAAAAAATATGTGATGCTCCAATGCTCTCGCAGACGGAGACTCACCAAGGAAGCTTAACCAGTGAAGACTCACCAATATTGAAGCCCGAGTCTGAGAGAGACACGACTGCTTGGCCGCCCGCTGAGCTGCTTGACTGCGGTGAGATGCGGGTGAGATGCAATGAAGTGAGTCCTCACCTCACCAGTGAAGACTTACCAACAAAGAAGCCTGAATCAGCGATGCATTTAGTTGCCGCCCAGGGGAAGGCGGCAGCAACGCGATCGCAGAGAGCCACGACTGCTTGGCCGCCCGCTGAGCTGCCCGCCAGGAGAATCTGCGATGCCGATTTGATTCCCCGCTTGGATTTCAGATCTGATTTGGTTTTTGGGTGAGGGGTTATGCGAACGTGGGCGAGGCAGAGTAGAGGCATTCATTTTCTCAGATGGGGGGCAGCACTGTCTTGTCATGGTCATGACTTTTGAGAACTCTCAAAAGGAAATCATTTTCTCATATTGGATGGCAATCATCCTCTCTTACGGCACCTCAAGCTCTCTTGCTCAAGCTCATGCATTTCCGTAACCCACCTTGAATCACAGCTCGAAGGATATTCCAACCATCCAGATAAATCGCCGTGTCGCTATTGATTTCCAGCGCCCTGGTGTTAACGAGTAACCCAGTTGAACCAAGGCTACGGCGCGCAGCCGCGCACGGCGCTGCTTTTACACCAGTAGAGGAGGAATCCATTCACCCGATATCACAACGCACCCTCTATCACCGCGAGGTGACTTTTCAGTCGACTCAAAAGTCAGCCACGCACGGCGCTGCTGTTACACCAGGAGATGAGGAATCCATTCACCAGTTATCACAACGCAACCTCTATCACCGCTTGAACGATGTTCCACCCGTCCAGATAAATCGCCGTGTCATTGTTTATTTCCAGCCACCCTGCCGTGCCCGAGTAGCCGCCACCGTCGCAGTAGATGAGACGAACGAGGTTCCAGTTGTAGAAAGGCGGGTTGATGCTGCTGTTGCTGCTCAGAATGCCGTTGAAACCCGGGGAGGGGATGGTCTGAAGGCGGGAGTGGGAGCGGGGAGCGGAGGAGAAGAACAAACGGAATGGAGGGCGGGTTGATGCAGCTGTTGCTGCTAAGAATGCCGTCGAAATTGGGGAAGAGGGTCGGTGGGTGGAGGGAAGTTGGAGACGGGAACAGGAAGAGAGGAGAACTGGCGGGTTAATGCTGCTGTTGCTGCCAGCAGTGCTGAGAATGCCGTCGAAATTGGGGGAGGGTCTACTTTTGGAAAGGCAGGTTGGAGGGAGGAGGAGCAGCATATCGCGTTTTTGGCTTGGAGGGAGGAGGAGGAACGAAGGCGCTGCTGCTGCTTTGCGCCGTCTCGGGAGGGGTAGGTGGGGGTAGAGAAGGGGTCTTCGGAGAAAACAGGGGGCTGTGAGGGAGAGAGCAGCGTACCGCGTTGGGTGGATCGTCAATGCTGCCGGGTGGTGCCTTTAGGGGAGGGGGAGGACGACTTCAAGGGGGAGAGCCTCTGAGAGCAGCATACCGCGTTGGGTGGATCGCCGGTGCTGCCGGGTGGTGCCTTGAGGGGAGGGGGAGGGCGACTTTAAGGGGGAGAGAGCAGCATACCGCGCTGGTGGGATCTTCGGGGTAGAATGTACTGCTGCCGAGTGCCGTCTTGCTCCTCCCGACGCACTCGCACTCTGCTGCTGGCAGCATTGCGGCACCACCCCCCGTGCGGCAGATAGATGTGCCACATGCTCTTGCCGCCCCCCATTCCCGCGCGAAAGTAGTACCCTGGGGGGCTGCCGAGAGAGGGTGAGGTGAGGGGGAGGGAATGTGGGGGGAGAGAGAACATGACGACGTTGCAAAAGCCGCACTGGCTTTTCCAGGTTTTCTGATTGATACGCTTTCAAGGTTAAGTTACCCTTTCTTCGCGCTGTTTTACTTGCCATGGGCGTAATCAATCAAAGCCAGTGCGGAACGACGCGCCAGCAGAACGACCCGCGTATGTTGATTTGCAGTCCTTTTTTTCGTTTTTTTTTCTTTTGTCCAGTAATACACCTCCCTTTGCTTCTTCCACCCTCCCCTCCGCAGCTTAGTACCTCCCGTCGAGGCATCGCGCGTCGAAGGTGTTATTCGCCAGCAGAACCAGCCGCGGATTTCCAGGCGGTTCCGGCGGTGCGACATGTTTTCCCGCGAGTAGCGACATCAAATACTGCAGGAACACCGCGACGCCGCTGAAATTGATCTTCCACCCCGCTGCATTATTCCTAGTAGGACCAATCCTTCCACTAGTAGACGCCCGTTCGAAGGGTAGCCTAGAGTGCGTGCTGAATCCACGGGTGTACCCGGGGAAAACAGTGCCGCTAGTCGTTGTAGTGCGTGCTCGAATCTCGGTGAATGCACCCATTATCGTTAGGCGTTGAGTACATAACTCTGAGTTGCTGCTGCCTACCGCTTCCTTACTTAGCGAAGTTTGTCAGTATAAGCTACTAAGCCACTCGTTACCCAGGTCTATAAGGCAGAATGCCACTCTCGTAGCATCGTTAGAGAAGAAACATGTTTGAAGTGCTTGGAGTACCTGACTCAGCTTGTTTTGAATGTGAGATTTGGAGAACGTGGGAGAGCTGAATTGGCTGCTTATCCATTACGGGGTACCGCGGAATCTTTTAATGAATGCGGTTCGGTAGGCTGCAGTCAATCCTCCTCAACACAGTCGAAATTCCAGCACATCAAATCTTTTCAGAACACGTGATGCAGATATGAAGGACGCGGGAGATACTAATATACGGTTCCAAACGGTGCCACGCGCTTCAGAATGGTGTCGTTATCTCACCAAGCTAAACCTGGAGGCAACCATCCTCACCATGACGAGGGTAAAAAGGTCATTCTCAACCTCTGGATAATCATCCCCACTCAGCGGCGCTTCGGGATGCAATATTCGAACGAAATTGCGAATTCATCCAGCGACTCGGTATTTGCTGACGCGGATCGCGTTTTGGACATGGATGCGAGACAAGGAACTTCTAAAGCCTGAAACGTGTGTGTGAGAGCTAAGCATTCCCGCCTTTTCATATGGAGCGTGAATTGCTCAAGCTCAGACAGGTACAAAACAATACATTGCTAATTGATGCTGATATGAAAGTTTCTTTGTTTTACCCCCTGCAAATTGCTTTAATCCGTGGCCACAAGAAATCAAGATTCTCTCAACCTGAAAAGCCCAATCTGGTTCAAAACAAGAAAACAAAACCTCATGTAAACCCAACCACACTCCCATCCAATTGCCCTGAAGCAGAACAGTGGCAAACACCTTTTGGATGAGCGGCAAATCAACGTACTAGGATCCACAATCGATGTGCTTCCTCCTCCCCTCGCATCTAAACCTTTGAACAGTAGAGCGAGTGGGTTTCTAGCCCCATGGGGTATAGAAGGCGCAAACAAGAGCAGCGGCGAGGACCAGCAGCGCAGTGAGGAGACGCGAGACAGTGGCAACGGCACCTGGCATCCAGAGAGGGAAAAGGAGGGTACGGGGAAGGATGGGAGAGTGAAGGGGTGAAGTGGTTGGGGGGAAGAGCAGCGCTGAGGACCAGCAGTGCGGTGAGGAGACGCGAGACAGTGGCAGCGGCACCTGGCATCCGAGAGAGAAAAGGAGGGTGCGGGGATGGATGGGAGTGAAAGGGTGAAGTGGTTGGGGGGAAGAGCAGCGCTGAGGACCAGCAGTGCGGTGAGGAGACGCGAGACAGTGGCAGCGGCACCTGGCATCCGAGAGGGAAAAGGAGGGTGCGGGGATGGATGGAAGGGTGAAGTGGTTGGGGGCAAGAGCAGCGCAGTGAGGAGACGCGAGATAGTGGCAGCGGCACCTGGCATCCAGAGAGTGGGGAGCGAGGATGAGAGTGAAGGGGTGGAAAATCGGAGGGGGGATGAGAAATGGGAATGAGAGCGAGGATACATGGGGGTGAGAGGGAGGAGAAATGGGAGTGAGAGGGAGGAGAAAAGGGAGTGAGAGGGAGGAGAAAAGGGAGTGAGAGGGAGGAGAAATGGGAGTGAGAGGGAGGAGAAACGGGAGTGAGGGGGAGGAGATATGGGAGTGAGGGGGAGGAGAAGAGTGAGGGGGAGGAGGAATGGGAGTGAGGGGGAGGAGAAATGGGAGTGAGAGGGAGGAGATATGGGAGTGAGGGGGAGGAGATATGGGAGTGAGGGGGAGGAGAAGAGTGAGGGGGAGGAGGAATGGGAGTGAGGGGGAGGAGGAACGGGAGTGAGGGGGAGGAGGAACGGGAGTGAGGGGGAGGATGCACGGGAGTGAGAGGGAGGAGAAACGGGAGTGAGAGGGAAGAGAAATGGGAGCGAGAGGGGGATGGGGGAACGGGAGAGACGAGGGACGAGTACTGAGAGTGGAAGGAGAGGGTGGGGGGGAGGGAACTGGGATTAAGGGGGAGGGAACTGGGATTGAGGGGGAGTGAGGGGGGTTGGAGGAATGAAGAAAGGAGAGGAACGAATACTGGAAAGCCGGCCATATAGATGCATCCCTGCATGCATGATGCAGTGAGGCATCATGCAGGGAAAGGCATGACCCATATACAAATTCGTATGGGAAGAAACACACGCAAGAAAGGAGTTAAAGTTTAAGGCCTTTGCTGTGAGCCAGTTGCTCGCTAATTTGAATCCAAACTCTTGTTTGCAAAAGACAAAAACGCGTACCAGGAAGGGAGGCCATGTCGCTCGGGAACACAACCGCGTTGATGTAAAAGTAATCGACCGACTTATCGTCAATCTTCGCGACAGCAGACGGAGTGCCAGCAGACGTGTCGGATGCGAGGGGGTCCGAGCCGGAAATGAAACCAGAGTTGGTGCTGTTGCACTTGAAGTTCAAATTGTTGCCGTTGAACAGGGTCTTGAAGGTCGTGCCAGTTGCGTTGCACTGCCATGCGAACACGATTAGGGTGGGGAGGGAGAGGGAGAGGCAAGGTCGCGCACGAAAGCAATGAGCCACGTAGCGCGGAAGGTATAGCGCACGGAATGCTGGTAATGGTAGCAGCCGAGTGCTATTAAAGACGGAAAGTCTTTAAAGTCTTCGGTGGCAATAGGTGGAACTCCAAACGACCACACAAGCCAATCAGGGTCAAGCGCGCAACCCCACCCCGCATGATGCGGATCGAATGTTTCGCACGCAGCGGCCTACCTTGGCACTCATGTCGGAGAACTTAACCACAGCATCCGTCGAGTGGAATGACATCAGGTTGAACAGCGAGCTCCTCACGACCTCGCTGACCGTCCCGCTGGTTAGGAACGGTTTGCAGTCCCTAGTAATGACGTCGTAGAGCGGAGTGGTCACAGAGATAGATCTCCGTGGCCGTCTTGAGCTTATCGCCGTTCACGACCGCGTCGAGCGCGTCGTACAGCCCGCCGCTGCTGCGCTTCTTCTTGTACCCCTCGAACGCGTCGCTCCACGCCTGGTTCGTCGGCAGGAAGATGGTCCTCGCGGACAGGAACGGGCACGTCATGTGCCCGAGGTAGTTGAGAACGACGATCGACTTGGACACGTCAGCGGACTTAATGTTGGACGTAATTATCATCCCCTGAGAATACGCCGGCGGGGAAGACGGCGCGCCGGACGACGGCGGCGCCGTCGATGGTGCGCCGACCGCGGGTGCGGGCGGGGGTGCTGCTGCGCCTCCCGCGCTGGGGGCGGCCGCGGGTGCTGCTGCGCCTCCCGCGCTGGGGGCGGCCGCGGGTGCGGCTGCGGGCGCGGCTTGCAGAACCCGACGGCTCGCGGCGGAAGCCGCCATGTCAGTCGAATCCGCGGGGATCGACGCAGCGGAGGCGGAATTGCCCGCCGCGAGCGCCGGCAGAGCGGCGGTTGCGAGGAGTGTCAGAATGTTATTATCTAGCCTGTAGTGGGGTGCTCTATAGCGAGTACAACCCAGTTAGGGTTTGCTATATGTATCCCAACTACTGCTAGTGAAACCTCTCTTTCGTCATTCTTCTTTTGTACTGCCTAGTATTCTGACATGCTATCAGAGCAGGTCGATCCCCTTGGGTCGATCCTGTGGGTGGGCCCACCACCTAATGCTTCCGCTGCTCTACTGCTGTCGCGCGCCCCGGGCGCGCTACCCTTTCGTCCCGCGAATGTTTTTCCGGTTTCCCTGTGTGGCGCGCGCCCGGGGGGCGCGCGGCCCTTTTTCTTCCTGGCGAGGCGCGCGCGCCCCCCCGTCCGTCCGTTGTGCCGCCCTGGCGAGGCGCGCGCGCTCCTCGCCCGTCCATCGTGGCGCCTTGGGGGCAGCGCGCTCGGCCCCCGCCCGTCCGTCGTCGCGCCCTCGGGGGCAACGCGCGGCCCCCTCCCGTCCGTTGTGGCGCCTTGGGGGGCAGCGCGCGCTCCCCGCCCGTCCCGTCGCGGCGCCCTGGCATGGCGCGTGCGGCCCCTGCTGCTTCGCCGCGGCGCCCTGGCCAGGCGCGCGCGGCCCCTGCTGTTTCGTCGCGGCGCCCTGGCCAGGAGCGCGCGGCTCCTGCAGGACCGTCACGGCGCCCTGGCAAGGCGCGCGCGGCCCCTGCTGGTCCGTTGCGGCGCCCTGGCTAGGCGCTCGCGGCCCCTTCCTGTCCCGTCCCCCCCCCCCCCCCCCTCCCCCCGTGCTGCCCATTACTCTCGTGCCGCCGTGCATTCTGCGGTGGTGGGGGGTGTGGGGTGGCGAGCATGGGGGTGCGCGGTGTGGGTGCTCCCCTTCCCTTTCCCCTCCTCCTTGTTCGTCTCCCACTGCTGCAGCTGCTGCTGAGGGGGGTGGAGGTGTGGGAGCCGCGGGGAGTGGAGCTAGGGGGGTGACGTGGAAGTGGAGTTAGGGGTGAAGCAGGGGGTGTGTGTCCGGGGGGTGGGACTGTGTGGGGAGGCTGAGAGGAGGCTGCCGTCGAGTCGCCAGCAGCGCCAGTAGTCCGGAGCCCTTGCTCTCGGTAGCCCAGCGAGCCTGCTGCGCCAGTCGCCCGTGGGTCCGTTGCTCCTGCCGCTCGTCGTAGCCGCGGAGTCTGTTACTCCAGTAGTCCGGGGCCCTTGCTCCGGTAGCCACTGTGCCAGCCGCTTCTGTTGCCCGTGTGTCTGCAGCTTCAGTCGTCGCCTCCCGTCTTCTCTCCCCCACAGTCTCTCCTCCTCCTCACTTGCCCTCTGTGTTAGCCTCTAGCTTTGCTTATAATTGTGAACTACTGCTATGCCTGCTCATTGTGCTGATTACACCCCACTTTGGCTATGGGGGTGTGTCAGAATGTTATTATCTAGCCTGTAGTGGGGTGCTCTATAGCGAGTACAATCCAGTTAGGGTTTGCTATATGTATCCCAACTACTGCTAGTGAAACCTCTCTTTCGTCATTCTTCTTTTGTACTGCCTAGTATTCTGACAAGGAGCAGAAGCGCGACGGAAGCCACGAGGGAAATGCGGAGAGTGACGAGGCGAGCCATTGGTAGCAGTACCGCGGGAAAGAACGTCACACGACGCGCGGAACGAAGAAGTGACACGAGACGTGTGGGATCCCGCTGGGGTACGAAGGAAGGAGGTTGCGTTCGAGAAATCAACTGACATTTGCTGCTCTCACGACTGTCCTTAATTAGTAAAGTAGTGGTCGGTACGTTAAGGTTCCTTCACCTGGGGTGAAGGCCATGGCGAGTTCAGTATAGCGAGGTGGTAGGGGGAGCTATGCGCAATGCGCATCCTCTCCCGTCCCCGTGTTCCCCTGCGCTCGTCCGCGGTGAGATCTGAGCGGCTCTGGTGCCTCCCTCCCGCGCATCTTCCTTTCCGTCCGCGGAAGCTGTGCGGATCCGCCTCTGGTAAGATGCCTCCCGCGCATCTCCCCTTTCCGTCCGGCGGCGCCTCGTTCATGGCGACCCCGTCACGACCAGTGTTTTGGGATAAGAGCCCAAGATTACCGGGTCTTATCCCGTTTGGGATGCCTTGGCGGCACAGAGTCACCGACACACGTCAGAGCGAGTCGTGTCACCTTCGGTGCGCACTACCACTAGCCTCGCTCCACGTCGGAAAACTAAGTGAAGGAAGCCCCAGGAATGGGAGTGCTTTTCGCTCTGCGCTCCAGGCTAGGATCGTCTCTGCGCAACACGGATAACTTGGCGCGACACAGCAGGGCGGAGTGCAATGCAGGGCAGCGACGCGCGGGCGAGTTGTGCGACGCTCGACTTGATACAGCTGTGGGGGAAAAGACGGCTAGAAGACTCCAGGGTACGCGATAACAAGATGACTCATTCAGGTCGGTTAGCTCGGTAACTCAGACGATCGAGATAAAATATACAAGTCGCAAATCTGGTTGTGAGCCTAAAAATTCCCCCTTCTGTAAGGGCAGGTCAAGTTCCTAAAACTTGATGCGGAGGAGTTTACAAGCTTGAAATAACTGCACTTGCAATCAACATCATGATTCAGATTTCACAAAACAAAGCACCATATGCATGGTTCAATCGAGACAGCAAAGAACAAATGGAGACAAAGATTTGAATATTCCCATGCAGCATGCATCAGCCCATTGCAGAATACCCAACCATGCACTTCCTTTGAATTGGCCCAAAACACATGCAAAACAGTGCCGAAGACCTTCAAGATGGGCGGAACAATCAACGGCTAGGACCTACTATCAAGTAATTCCTCCTCCTGTCCCATGTAGACTCAAGGGCAGTAGAGCGAGGGGGTCTCAAGCCCCATGGGGTATAGAGGGCGCAAACAAGAGCAGCGGCAAGGACCAGCAGTGCAGTGAAGAGACGCGAGACAGTGGCAGCGGCACCTGGCATCCGAAAGGGAGGGGGGTTGAGGACCGGGAGTGAGGGGATGTAGAAAGGGGAGAAAGGAGAGGAACAAGGAGTAAGGAGCCGCAGCAGCACGGTGCATCCCTAGTAAGTGCGCTTCCCCCCTCCCCTGACGTGGACAGCAGTAACGTGTAGTGTAGGAAGCGCATGTCATGGGGGGAAGGGAAGTGCATGAAACGTGTTGGAGCAGCATGGTGCATCCCTAGTAAGTGCGCTTCCCCCCTCCCCTGACGTGGACAGCAGTAACGTGTAGTGTAGGAAGCGCATGTCATGGGGGGAAGGGAAGTGCATGAAACGTGTTGGAGCAGCACGGTGCATCCCTAGTAAGTGCGCTTCCCCCCTCCCCTGACGTGGACAGCAGTAACGTGTAGTGTAGGAAGCGCATGTCATGGGGGAAAGTGCCTGAACCGTGCTGGAGCAGCATGGTGCATCCCTAGTAAGTGCGCTTGCCCTCCCCTGACGTCGGCAGCAGCAAAGAAATGGGGGTGAGGGGTTTGAGAAATTGTGGTGAGGGGAGGAGAAAGGGGAGGAGAAATGGGAGTGAGGGGGGGGGAGAAATGGGAGTGAGCGGGGGGGGAGAAATGGGAGTGAGCGGGGGAGGGGGAGAAATGGGAGTGAGAGGGGGGAGAAATGGGAGTGAAGGGGGGGGGAGAAATGGGAGTGAGGGCGGGGAGAAATGGGAGTGAGGGGGAGGAGAAATGGGAGTGAGGGGGAGGAGAAATGGGAGTGAGGGGGAGGAGAAATGGGAGTGAGGGGTAGGAGACATGGGAGTGAGGGGGAGGAGAAATGGGATCGAGGGGGGGAAGAGATGGGATTGACGGGGGAGAGAAACAGGAATGGGGGGAGGAGAGATAGGAATGGTGGGAGGAGAATGGAATGAAGGAGAGGAACAACTAGTGAAGGTGGCAATGTGGATGTGTGGCTGGATGCATCATGCATGCAGAGAAGCGATGTCCCATGATACGAAAGCGTATGCATAGAAGTACAGGAAAAGGAAGGTGTACTGGTAAAACGCAACTAGGTATAAATACCCATGCTGTAAGCCAGTTGACTCCGAATCCGAACCCGTGCATGCATGAAAATAATTGAAACGTGTACCAGGCAGGGAGGCGGGGTTGCTGGGGAACACAAGATTGTCGACGTAAATGAAATCGCCCGCCCTATCGTCAATCTTCGCGACAGCAGACGGAGTCCCAGCTGCCGGGTTGGATGCGAGCGGGTCCGACCCGGAAAGGAGTCCGTTGCTGTTGCTGTCGCACATGAAGTTCAAATTTTGGTCGTTGAACAGGGTCTTGACGGTCGTGCCATCAGCGTTGCACTGCCAGCCAACGTGATTAGGGCAAGGAGGGAGAGGCAAGGTAGCGCGCGAAAGAAATGAGCCAGGTAGGAGTAGGGGGCAAGGCATAGCGTTGCGAACGGAAGTGCTAGCGGCGGTAGCAGCAGAGTGCTATTGAAAAGGGAAAAGTCAAGAGTCCATAAATGTGAAATCGGCTGTGTGGAAAGTCAGCAAATTAACTTCTGAGTCGACTCAACAGTCGCGCATGATGCGTCTTACCTTGCTATCCAAATCTTCCATCTTAACCGTAAAATCGGCCGTGTGGAAAGTCAGCAGGTTATACACCGCAGTCCTCCCGGCCTCGCTGATCGGCCCGCCGACAATAATCGACTTGCATCCCTTCGACTTGTCAAGCAGCGAGGAGTAATCAGTGAGCCGGTCCCGATTATCCGGATTCTTGAGCTTATCGCTGTTCGCGACGACGTCGAGCGCGTCGTACAGCCCGCCGCTGCTGCGGTTCTTCTTGTACCCCTCGAACGCGTTTCTCCATGCGTTGTTCGACGGGAGGAGCATGGTCTTCCCGGTCGGGAACTGGCACGCCGTGTACGCGAGGTAGTTAAGGAGGTTGATCGACTTGGAGACATCGCTGGCTTTAATGTTCGACGCGAGCTTCAGCTGCTGAAGTGGTGGCGCCGGGGAAGACGGCGCGTCGGAAGACGCTGGCGCGTCGGAAGACGATGGCGCGTCGGAAGACGATGGTGCGTCGGCGACGGGTGCCGCGGGTGCCGCGGGCGCGGGTTCGGGTGCTTCTGCGGGTGCGAGTGCGGGTGCGGGTGCTGCTGCTGGCGCGGCTTGCAGGACCCGACGGCTCGCGGAAGCCGCCATGTCAGTCGAATCCGCGGAGATCGACGCGGCGGAGGCGGAATTGCCCGCCGCGAGCGCCGGCAGAGCGGCGGTTGCGAGGAGCAGGAGCGCCGCGGCGGAAGCCACGAGGGAAACGCGGAGAGTGACGAGGCGAGCCATTAGTAGCGACGAGGGATGGTACTGCGGGAAAGAACGTCACACTACGCGTGCGTGTGAGATTCCAAACGATGGAGATTGCGAACTGACGGTTGCTGCTCGAACGGCTGTGTTTAAGTAGTAAAGCAGCCGCGGCAGTCGGTTGGCTGAGGTTCCTTCGGAAGGAAAACTAGAGTCCTTCTCCCTTCTCCCTTCTCCCGAGATGATCGCCTCGGAAGCGTGTTCATCACGGTGAAGTAGTAGCCGCGGGGAACTGTGCGCAGTCTTTCCCCGCGCCGTGGTTTTCCGCCCCGTGTCCCCCCGGCGGACGGATCCGTCCGCGGAAGCTGTGCGGTGATGCCTCCAGTGCATGCATGATGCCTCCCGCGCATCTCCGTTTCCGCCCGCGGCGTCTAGTTTTGACGCGCCGCAAAACTGGATCATCGGGTTCGCCTCTGGGGCACGCATCATGCCTCCCGCGCATTCCCGTTCAACGGGAAGTTTCAAGCGGAAACTGGATCGGAAAGTTTCCGCCCGGCGGCGCCTCATTAGTGATGACGCCGTCAAGTCCGGTGTTTTGAGATAAGGGCTCAGGATTACTGGGCGTCTTATTGCGGAGAGTCACTACACAACGGGAGTGGACTATGGTGGAGGGCACGGAGTTGTGCGGGTGATCGTAGCGTTGTTCTAACGTTCTTACTGCTTGCTGTGTTCACAAAGAAGTTTGGCAAGAGTTTCCACTAAGGAATTGTAAAAGAACAACTTGCAATGAAAAGTTGATAGTACAATTGAGGCATGCAGAACAAAAGGAACTAGAATGGCATGAAACTCCTAGCAAGGGCGAAATCTGCCAGCGCAGCAGAAGAGCGGCTTGCCAACGTTGCAGCAGAGTGATCTGCCAACGTTGCACTGCACGCGGTCTGCCAGCACTGCAGTCGCAGGTGACTATCTGCAGTCGCAGGATGTCTATCTGCGCAGATGTGCGCACCTACCAAGTAGGTGCAGGTTGGCGGTTTCACCGTCAGGCACATTGCGCAGGTGCCAGGTAGAAAACGTGTCGTCGGTTTCGCCAGGTGCGCACCGTCGAGCACGTTCTGCCGTTCCGCAGGTAGAACTTCGCCAAAATCTCCTGGGCGAAAGTTCGCACGCCTCCGCAGAGTTTCGCAAAACTCTGCAACTTCGGTCGAAGGACTCGCCATCGCTCGGTCGAACAGAGTTCGCCGAGCAGAGCTCCTCGACCAGAACTCTCCGAGCAGAGCTCCTCGACCAGAACTCAAACCAGAGTTCCTCGACTCGAACTCCTCGACCAGAGTTCCTCGACGGAAGTTCGTCGCGCAGAGATCGTCGACCAGATTCCGTCGAGCAGAGTTTGCTCGACTGCAACTTCCGTCAAACTGCAGAAGACTACTTCTTCTACCAATCCGTCGAGAACTTCCCGTCGACGGCGAGATCAGCTGCGCCCAAGCGAGGGCGGGGCCTTTCTCTTCGACACTCCCCTGCCCAGCTCACGCTTGGGCACCCACACACAAGGTCCACCCGGAACCCAGAGGGATAGAATACGAGAAATTTCCCTTCTACGTGCACCCAACACATAGCACGTAGATCACCGCACCAGCCGTGCAGAAGAGCACGGCACCTACTGCTGCACCTCATCATCCCCGTCGCCCACGTCGGCCAGACGCACTTGACCGATTGCGACGGAGCACCGGTTGAAAGCCGGAAAATGCAGCGCCTTCGTCAAAAAATCTGCCGGCTGCTCGGTGGTCGGGATGTACTGCAGAGCAATCTTCCCGCGCTTCACCATCTGCCGCAGCCAGGCGTAGCGTCGCTCCATGTGCTTGAGGTTGCCCTTGAGCCCCAAGCCCTCTGCGACAGTGATCGCCGACTGGTTGTCCACGTGCAGAACAGTCGGCTTCCTTGGGTCGAGCAGACGGAACTCTGCAAGGAGGAAGCGCAGACGGCGAGCCTCCTTGCCGGCTTCGGTCGCCGCGACGTACTCTGATTCGGTCGACGAGAGCGTCGCGCACTTGATGCGCTGGCTCGCCCAGGAGACTGCGGCTCCTCCGAAGACGAAAACGTAGCTGCCCGTGCTCGTCCGATTCTGCTTGTCGCCAGCGTCGTCGGCATCTGCATAGCCGACCAGACACAGCGACTCTGGTCCGCCGCCGAACTCCAGAGCGGCGTCACGAGTTTCAGCGAGGTAGTGTAAACAACGATCGACCTCACGCCAGTGGTTGTCGCTCCGCACTGTCAGGCCAGATCCGAGCTTGCTGCAAGCAAAAGCAATGTCGGGCCTCGTAGTGGTGGCCGCGAACTGCAGCGAGCCAACCTTCTGTCGGTACTCTGCTTCCTCGCGCGACTGAAACTCTTCGTCGTCGAACACCAGCTCAGCGTAGGCGTCGACGGAGACCGGCGTCTTCGGCACTCGCCCGGTCTGCTCCTCGTCGATGAAACGCCGGCGCAGCTTGTCGACGTAGACCTGCTGATGAAGCCACAGCTTCCGCGCAGGACGGTCGCGCACGATTTCCAGCCCGAGATACTTCTCGACCGGGCTGATTTCGCGCAGCTCGAAGGCGGCCTCCAGCAGCTCCTTCAACTCCTTCAGCATCGCAGTGCTGCTACTTGCAGCAAGTAGATCGTCGACGTAGACGAGCACCCAGCACGCCACTCCGTCGTTGCCGACCTTGAAGTAGAGCGCTTCGTCTACCTGGCTCTTGCTCCAACCAGCGCCGATCAGCACCACGTCGAGCGCCGAGTACCACAGCAGCGGACTCTGCTTCAGTCCGTACAAGCTCTTCAGCAGCTTGCAGACGCGACCGGTTCCGTCGTTGAAGTAGTCGGGCTGGTACATGTAGAGGACACGATCCAGCTTGCTCTGCAGAAACGCGTTTTTCATGTCCAGCTGCATCAGGTGCAGGTCGAGGACTGCTACGATGCTCAGGAAAATCCGCAGAGTTACGTAGCTCCCCACCGGCGCGTACGTCTCGTCGTAATCTGCGCCGTAGACCTGCGTGAAACCTTTCACCACCAGACGCGCCTTCTCGCGAGCGACCGTGTCGTCGACGTGGTACTTCGTCGTGAGTACCCAACGATTCTTCATCACGTTGACACCACGCGGACGCTCGACCAGCTCCCACGTTCCGTTGGAGATGAGACTCTTGATCTCCTCGTCCATAGCAGCCTTCACCGCCTTGCCTTTCCAGCTCGCCAACGCCTCCTTCACGGTCATGTTGGCGATGTCCCAGCGATGCTGTGGATCGGAGTGCATGTCAGGGTCGAGATCGGGCAGATCAACGTCGTCCTCTGCGTCGTCGAGCAGAATGCTGTAGGCCGTCGGCGGCAGACAAGCGTGGAAGCTCAGCTTCTCCGGCGGCTTGCCGATGTTGGAGCGGGCAGACCGGCGCGGTTTCTCTTTTTCGACCGCGACCTCTACCACGTCGTCGTCTTCGGACTGCTCCCCTTTTCCGCCACCGGCCGCAACGACGACTTCCACAACGTCGTCGCTCGACGAGTCATCGTCGAACTGCTCCCCTGTCGGCAGCTCCTCTACCGGCTGCTCCCCCAGGATCACCTTCTCTGCCATCGGCTCCCCTGAAGTTGGCGCCTCTGCTGATGGCTCCTCTGCAGTCTGCTTCGGCGCCTCTGCCAGCAGCTTCTCTGCAGCCGGCTTCGACGCCGACAGCTCCCCTGTCGTCTGCAGCTTCCCGTCGCTGACCTTCTCGGCGTCACGTCGGCCACCGGCGATGCAACCGGTCGGCGCCGCAGGCGACGCACCAAGTCTCCCCTCATCGCCGGCGGCCGACGAGGGCACAACAGGAGGAGGGAGCGGGACCTCCACTACGTCCTCATCATCAGGCTCGTCGACGACGGCGAGCAGAGGAGGCATCGCCGAGGAGGAATCCGGCGGCGGGGCAGACGACGTCCTCGTCGACGCTGGCCCGTACTCCACCTTCCACTTCTCCATCGACAGGTTCTCGTAGAAGATTGCTTCGACCGTCGTGACCAATTTGTTGTCCGTCAAGTCAAGCACCTCCCAGCCCTTGCTCTCGAGCGACACGCCGAGGTGAAGACCCCAACGGGCCTTCGGCGCCAGCTTCCCGCCGCGCTGCTGCTCGGGGACCATGAACTGCACCATGCAGCCCCAGACGCGCGCCAGCGTCAGATCCGGCTTCGTCCCGAAGAGCAGCTCGTGCGGCGTCGTCCCCTTTGGCAGAGAAGCCCGCTCGAGACAGTTGCGCACCCAGACGGCTTGGCGCAGAGCGAGGTGCCACCAGTGATGCTTCACGCCCATGTGCAGAAGCATCGTACGCACGGCCTCGACCACCGTGCGCATCTCCCGCTCGGCCATCCCGTTCTGCTGCGGAGTGTAGGGGCACGTCAGATTGTGGAGAATTCCCTTGTCCTCGACGAGGTCGGTGAAGGCGCGACCGAGGAACTCCCCTCCGCGGTCAGAACGCAGCTTCTTCACCGTCTTCGACGTCTGCCGCTCTACCTCCTTCAGCCACTTTTCGAAGACGACCAGCACGTCGCTCTTCTTCGCGATCGGCCTCACCCACACGTAGCGAGTCTTCCGATCTTTTAGCAAAAGAAAGTAGAAGCTGCCATCGTTGGCGGCCACCCGAAAGGGCCCGCAGAGATCGACGTGCACCACATCAAGCGCGTTCTCGGCGTCCGATCCTTGATCGGGGAAGGTGTGCCGTGCAAGTTTGCCGCCGACGCAGGAGGCACACGGCAGATCAGCCGCGGTCGACTTCTTGATGTCCAGACCGGCGGCGACCTCATGCTTCGCCGAGCTCTTGATCGTGTCGACGCCGACGTGCGCAAGCCGTGCGTGCAGCATGTCCGGGGTCAACTTTGTCGCTGGCGCGATCGTCCGCAGAGCCACAACCTCCGTCGAAGTCGTCGTAGACTTCATCGAGCAGGGGCGCAGGTCGGTGCAGAGTACTCAGCCGGAGTAGCGTGCCCGACCAAGGACATCGCCGGCAGAAGACACCAGCAGCATCTCTCCGCCCTCATCCTGCAGC